AGGTGGGAGAAAGCAAGCTACAGGATAATTAACAAGATTATGTGCTCCCTTGAGGGTGGTTATGCCTCTGAGGGGTCTGAATAAGAGGCATTTCAAAGGTGTGCTAACCTAGATGCACAAGAACGATGGACAGGGCTCCCTTATAGTAAAGATTAACTTTTTACTAAGGAAATTATAGGCCTGAGGCATGACTACCCACCATGACCTTCACAGTTAGGAATTTATGATCTGATCACCTTATGTGGTTACTTTCAGTCACTGAACTTATACATACCCCCTTGTTTGTCCACAAGGCTCAGCCATCAGAAGTAAAGTAGGAACCCAAGTAACAGTAACAAGGGCAAGAAATGGAGGGCTTGAAGTCTAGGAGATTAACAGCCGACCCCTGGGAACTCTGGACAGGTTTGCATTTATCACATCAACACTGGGAGCTGATTTGTCTCCTGATATACAAGTTGCCTTTCTGACTGCTCAAGATCTGCCCAACTAAGAAAATAGACATTTGAGTGTAGAGAGAATGGAGAAGAGGGCAACCAGCATGAGGACTTTGGGTTCCAGAGGGTGGGAAGAAGGGCACTGCCAGGAGGAGAGAGAATCGTGTTCAAAGGAAGTGGGATAGGACCACAGACTTCTAGGTGACATTTGCCAGTTTCTCTGAAGGGAAAAAAAAAAGCCAACAGCAAAGTTATTCCCGCTAAGATGTTAGTGACAGTGTATAGCCTCTCACAGAAGCTTTGGGATTATAAAATCTGATTGCAAAAAGGCAACCATTTACCCCAAAGGAATGGACTTCTAATGATGGCTTTTTAGGCACCAGTGAGAGGAAGGAGGTAATAGGTATTTAGGGTAAGAGAGTGTTTTCTGAGCTCTCCAGAAATCATAGTTCTGTTTACATATAAATTTATCCCTCACTGGGGGAGAAGAAAGTTTCTTTTCCCAGATGTCTTAGTGGTTTTTGTCTGCTTATCCCATGGTATCCCTTCACTCCTCACAGTGCTATGTGAAATTTGACTAGAAACATGAGAGATGATAGAGACTAGGTGACATGCAGCCTGGTCATTTCTGTTGTAGCCTTCTCCAGAGGAACCCTGAAGCCAGCTTTGCTTTGGATTGATTTTCTGCAAGTTTTTGGCCAGGAACACTGAATGTGTTCCATGGACAATTGGTTAGATGCCCAGCCATCTTGGAAAATCTGGGACAGAAGAGGGTAGACTACAAGGTGGCTTTCCTTGCTTCTGTCATTCCTTGCATGCTGTGTTGACCCTCTAAAGATGCAAAGGGAGACTTGTGTCCCATGTCCCATTCTAAGATAGAAAAATTGAGGCCCAAAGTGTGGCCTGTGCAAGGTTATGTAGAGTGGGTACCCAAGCTGGGATTGAAGCAGTGATCCTGCCCCCCTAATCCCTGGTTTATTTTTAAAAATATTATTTCCTTTTCTTTAGTGAAAATTTTATGTATTTAAGATGTACAACATGCTGATTTGATATATATATATATATATATAATTATTACAGACAAGCTATTTAACATCATCTCCTCACACAGTCACCGTTTATTTTGTGGTAAGAATATGTGAAATGTACTCTCATAGTATATTTCCAGTATACAATACAGTATTATTAACTGTAGTCATCATGTTGTACATTAGATCTCTAGAATTATTCATCCTACATAACTTATTAATTGTACCCTTTGACCAACATCTCCCCATTTCCCCCACCCCCAAACCCTAGTGAACACCATTTTATTATCTACTTTTATGTATTAGACACTTTTTGATTTCACATATAAGTGAGATCATTCAGTTCTTTTGTTCTTTCTGCATTTGGCTTATTTCACTTAGCATAATGTCCTCTAGGTTAATCCATGTTGTTGCAAATGACAGGATCTCTTTTTTTAAGGCTGAATAATATTCCCTTTGTGTACATATACACCACAATTTCATTCATCCACTGAATGAATGAAGTTTTTTCCATATCTTGGTTATTGTGAATAATGCTGCAAAAACATGGGATACAATAAACATGGGACTGCAGATATCTCTCCATGGTACTGACTTCATTTCCTTTCTGCCCCTAGTTTTAATACCCACCCTAAGAAGAGAGCACAAACTTTGAGGCAGGAAAACTATATTCCTGAATTGACTCTCCTATTAAATAGCTGAGTGGCATGGACCAAATCTTTCAGGGTACCAGTAGCCTCATTTTCATAAATTTATACTCACCTCATTAGGAATAGTAGAAAAATGAAATAAGACTAAATGGGAAGATGTTAAATATATTGTACAAAACTAGTGTTAAATATGACCATAATTGGTTTATTTTCCTTTGATTCTGTTTTGTCTCCCTCTCGTTTGCTTTCTCCCCATCTCCCATTATGTAGATTCATAAACTCCGAGGTCAGGTTATTCTGAAGACTATTGCAAAAAAAGACTCTCAAGTTCATGCTTCCACTGGAAGACATCACCCTGCAGTTGCCTCGCCATTGATTCCTTGGTGGAAGGCTGAATTCAAAAATCAATTCACATTCTTTTGAGGCAAAATAATTCCAAACTATTTTTTTCTTTTAGTATTACAAAAATCCACCAACTTCTGTAAGAGTAACGCCAAATACTATTTCATAGGTCATCCTAATTTTCCTTCACCAAAAAAATATTGAGATTTGGTGTAATTAGAGCCCAGAGGGATGAATGGCCCTGCTCCTGTCCTTTTTCCAATGGCTTTCACTCCTGTCTACCAGCTGCAGCTGTCTGATTGTGTGTGCTTATGATCAGGAGAAGGGACTCACAGCCCAGACCAGAGGGTCAATTATTATAAGGTAAACTTTCTAGGAACTAAAGCTGCATCTTTTTAAGACAAAATTAAGAAACCCCTTTGGTATCCTGTAAGGGGTTATTAATAGGTAGTTAATACCCAAGGGTGAGTTGCTCAGAGATTGAAGCTAGATCAATTTATATAGCAAAGTATATAGTTTATTTAGTTACCCACATTACTAAAGCCAAAGAAAGTGCGATGTCAATTTTATGGGTATTTTAGGCCAAAATATTCTAGAGGGACAGCACAGCTTTCGTGTTCCATTGGTTTTTGCCTTTTAAGTTAAATGGTCCCTTCCTTGTTACAGGTTTGATGTGACTGGCACTCTTCTTGACAGTGGCTAGGAGGGAAGAGACTAGAAACAGTCAGACATCAGTTCAGATCCTGGTGCTACCACTCACAAGTTGTGTGACCTGGGGCAAGTCAATTCATTTGTTAAACCTTAGTCTTCTCAGCAGCAAAATGGATATAGTCATAATGTCTACATGAGAACATTATTAGTAAGGGCCAATAAGATAACATATGGAAAACCACTCACCACTGTGCCTGGCGTATTAGTGAAGGCTTGATACATGTTAGCTATTGTATTATTAATATTATTATTGTTAGCCTTTATCATTTTCACATACACCCTGAGAATAATTTCATTTTGCTTTTTTTTTGAACAGTTGTATTGAGGTATAATTTACCCATAAGATGGACTCATTTTCATTATAATTTTGACTGATGGGAAAGAAAGGATCGTCTAACTCTCTAAGCATTTTGCTAATGAAACACACAACTCCCCTGTGTGTTTCTCTTCTTCGATATCCCACAGCAAGCATTTTCCAAACTCTGCTTGTATCTACTGTTAATCTGTACATCAATGATTAGTTTAATCTGGGGGCTTGTTCACTGTTGTTTGGTGTGTGTGTGTGTGTGTGTGTGTGTGTGTGTGTGCACGTGCGCACACCCATTATGCACTTTAAGGAAGCCCAGTGAAAAGACTTATTGAGACATTCACTTAGAGTCAACTTAAAAAGTCTATTGACTTTTTGCTACATGGCAACCCTGCGTTAGACTCCACAGAGAAAAGACACATAAGGCAGAGTCCCAGTTCTCAAAAAGAAATACATACATGTATACATAGGTCGGTAGAAAGAAGATGGAATTTAGGGTCAGGAGATCATATTTCAATTCATTTTTTTCATCACTCACTAACTTGTTGATTATAGATAAGTCTCTCAACCTCAGAGACTTGTTGCCCTCAAATGAAACATGAAGATAATAATCTGCCTTATTTGATTGACAAGGTTGTTATGAAGCTCCATTGTAGTAATGTATGTGAAATCTCTTTGGAAATTGTTGGCTAGATGACTATAGTTCACAAATATGAATTACAATGATATTCAGGTGCCAGATTGTGTGCTTCAGACATCAGATGCATTGAGAGATCCAGACCGTGGACTGGCACTATTAGGGCATGCTTCATGAAGGGAAAGAGACTTCTGCTGAGCCTTCAAAATAAGATAGGACTTCAATAGGTAGAAAAGAGTGGGAGGGAGGAGGTAATCTTCTTGGAGGGATTAAAAATCAGCACACTCCAGAGGCTGGAACAAGTATACAAGTACATACCAAGTAATAAAGGTTACCAGAGTAGTTATAATAGGTGGTTCCTCTTCTGAAACAACTCCCTCCTTCCAAGGCAAGTGAATACCTTATTTATCCAGCTCTTTTAGCTCCATAAAGGCAGGGGCCTTGCCTTTCTTCTCTAATCTCTCTCTAGTACCTATTACAGTGCTTGGCACATAATAGGTGCTCAATAAATGCTCAACAAATGAAATCATGGATGATGGTCATACCAGTTGCTATTCTTGTCTGGCTATGTTAATATGAGCATACCTTGGTGATACTGTGAGTTTGATTCCAGTCCATCTCAATAAAGCAAGTAGGGCAATAAAGCAGGGCACAATTTTTTCACTGGTAAAGGGTCTTGCTTTCAATCTGTATAAAGCACAACATCTATGAAGCACAATAAAGCAAAGCTCAATAAAATGAGGCATGTCTGTATTGTTTAAAGTCATCAGCCACTAATTAGGAGCTATCCTAACTCCCTCTATGTGGTACAGCCCCATCTGCTGTCAGGATTTATGAGATTTTTTGCAATGATGTCAATACTTGGTGTGGTTTTTCTCCACCCTGTCCCAGAAGACTCCTTACCCCCAGCAAACAATAAAGTGACCAGCAAGTCGTGTGAGTACAACGGGACCACGTACCAACATGGTGAGCTATTCATGGCTGAAGGGCTCTTTCAGAACCGGCAACCCAATCAGTGCACCCAGTGCAGCTGTTCGGTAAGACCCTGCATCTTAATGTCCCTGCCAGCCCCTACCCAAATAAGACAGCGTCCTCTGTACTTACACCTTTAGTTTGAGCCTAAACTATAGGGTATTTGAATGAAAGATAAATTGCATTTAAATCAGAAGCCTCCCTGCCAGTCCAGACTCCCTGATTTCATCAACTCTGAACAACTCTGTTGAAGAGATCAGACCCAGTCATATCCCCAACTTAAAGCTTTAGGACTGCTTAAATAGACAAAGATGAGCTAGTAGTCTTATTTTGCATTCCTTTTTACAATAGTTACACCACCAAAGCCTTTATCTGAAGGATTCAATTATTTGAAGCTTTGGAGATACTATGGGTAGAGGAGCCATTGGCACCATCTAGGGCCACTCTGTGCAATTCACAAGAAAATGGTGTGTCTCTTGGTTCCAGCCCTGAAATATTCTACTAACCATTTCATCACTGATGCCCTACAATGACAGCTCTCTTGACAAAAATGGATTGATCCTGTGACATTATTTGTCAAAAGAACTGTGTATACTTCAGGAATAAAGTATACCAATTATAACTTCGTCTAATTGTGCAGTCCAGTGAATGTAATAAATAGAACAAAAAAAATTGAGTAAAATGGGTGTTTATATTGCAGTGTGAGGGAATGAAGTTAGTTGTAAAAAGAAAAAAGGAACTGTTCTTCCTGTAAAGAGCATTAAATGCTGGATTGCCAAGGGGAGTTATAAAATCTCTTTCCTTAGGGATTTTTAGTAAAAATACAGTATCACAGTAGTTGGGAAAATTTGGATGTGCCCTTGCCTTCACAACCTTTCAGGAACCCTTCTAGCCCCAGAATTGTATCCGTCTAAGAACTAAGAACAAGGTTTAAGGAACAATGTTTGGAAAGTAGAACTTTAAGGAATGGAAATTATACAAAGACAGACAAAACTGCAAGTAAATTTGATCCTCTCCTTTGCTTCATGCTGGACTGAGCTGTCAATTCAGATTATTTGTGTAGTTTTGTATTACCCCAGAAAGCTTGTCTCCTGGGTTTGGAAGGGAGACTCTAGTAAGCATTACAAAAGGCGGCAATCAGACAAATCTGCATTCCCTGAAATCCTTAACACCCAGCTGGGGCATGATGGGGGACCAAGGGATACAATGAACAGAAAAGAGACGAGCAAGACTATAGTTGGTGGTTTGGAGGCTCAAGGCAGCCCTCACACTGGTGACTTTGTACCATCTTAGAACAGGATGCCCAGTGACGATTACCAACTCTTCTGTGACTTAGTCTCTGGCATGGCAAAATTTTAAATAGAAAAAAAAACTGCTGCCTAGTAAAATTTAGGAAGTACCTAGAACCAACCGTTGGAGAGCAGTGGGGAAGGACATGCCATGTTTTGAACCCTTACTCATCCCAGGTACTGAGCTAAGCCTTTACACTTATCCCAGATCCTTCTGACCTTAATTCTGTTTCTCCTTGGCAGGAGGGAAATGTGTACTGTGGTCTCAAGACTTGCCCCAAGTTAACTTGTGCATTCCCTGTCTCTGTTCCTGATTCCTGTTGCCGGGTGTGCAGAGGTAGGTGTTCCATATACCAAGGCCTGCGGTGCTACCACCCTGACTAGCAGGACTTAGAAGAGAGGAAATTACCTTCTCACTGTCCTAGGGAAAGGAATTTTCTATGGTAGTCTTAGTTTCTGGGGGTGCTCTCATACACAAAAGGGGAAAATAAAAGCACTGATTTTTGAGGGCCACCGCCTGAAAGAAACTGTACAGGAGTGTGGCAGGAGAGGTGGGGTGGGAGTCATCTAATGTGAAAGTGAGTGTCTTTATCTCTCCTTCCTTAATTCCTTCTAGCTCAGCCCCCACATTATTATATTGTAAAACACAGACAATTTACATACACAGTCTTAAAAGCAGAATGGGCCTTGTGAAGTATTAATGTGACCATTTTGAAGACTTTTTTTTGTAGGGCAAATTTATATACATATTTTAAAATTCCATGGTAGGATGGGGACAAACTAAATAAGAGCAAAATGTAAAAATCATTTTCTCAAATTTAAAATGGAATCGTCACCTTCTCAAGCCAGTTTTTTTTCTTCTTTCGGTCTCATTTCTTAGATAATGGAACCATTTTTTTTCTCAAAGTTCCTAAGATCAAACATAATCACCATCAATTTCTCCTTTATTACCTCTTCTCAAATTACCAAATATATCAGCCATCTTCTGTATCACTTCCTTTTCCTGCTTCCCCTATGGCAATATCCTAATTTTGTATTCGTCTCTTCCATCCAATCAACATATTTATTGAGCATCTGCTACATGCTCAGCACTGTACTAGAAACTGGATACATGTTGATAAATATAGTAGACATACAGGGCACCTCCCAGACTATATAACATTTTTTTAATAGCATCATTATGTGAATTATAAAAAGGATCCCCTTACTTAAGATACTTTGCTGCCATTTGCCAGAAAATCTCTGTGAACACACCCTCTTAGCTGTGGCACCCTTGTGCAACATGCAAACATCTCTGGCACATAGAGCAGCAAAGATAAGTCTCTTGCTCTTATAGAACTCACCTACCAGAGAAGACAAATAATAAAAAAAACAAGTAAACAAATATTTAAATATGAACAATGTAAGTACAGTTCACCCTCTGTATCCTCGGGTTACACATCCACGGATTCAACCAACTGCAGGTTGAAATGTTTTCTTTTAAATCCCAAAAAGTTCCAAAAAGCAACACTTGAATTTGCCACACACCGAGCACTATGCTGAATCCATGTAAATGAAGTGATGTATAGGTATACCCTGCTGTGGCCTATATGTAAATATGGGTTATATGCAAATACTGTGTCATTTTATATGAGGGACTTGAGCATCCTCAGGTTTTGATATTCGTTGGGCTATCCTGGAACCAACCCCTGTGGATACTGAGGGATGACTGCACTATGAAGGAAATAAACAAAGAACTGAGACAAAAAATAAAAGATGAAGACATTTAGGTTGAGCAATTAGGAAAGCCTCTCTGAGTTGACATTTAAGCTCAGACTTGAAAGATGAAAAGGAGCCATTTTTGCAAAGATCCTGGGGGAAGGGCATTCCAGGCAGAAAGAAAAGAAAGTTCAAAGGCCTCCAGCCGAGAAGAGTTTAGAGCTTTCAATGAATCTAAGGATTACTGTGGCTGGAATATAGTGATTGTGGTCAAAATTGTCTGGAGATGAGGCTACAAAGGTGAACAGGAGTCAGACCATGAAGAATCTTCAAGACCATGGGAAGGAGTTTGGAATTCAGTTTTTAAGTGTATTGGGAAGCCACTAAAAGGTTTTGCGCAGGGGCATGACATGATCCAGTTGATGTCTTTAAAGATCTCACTGGTTAGTGTGTCCACACTAGATTGGAGGGAGGTAATAAGGCAAGTGGAGAGGTCAGGAAGAAGGTGAGTGGCGTCATCTCTTTAGTGTGAGAGGGTGGGTGTCTGGTCTGGGGACACAGTGCAGAGTAGTGGTTCAGAAAGGAACCTTTGGAGCCAGGCTGCCTTGGTTCTCATTCCAGCCCTGCAATTATATAGCTGGGTGATCATGAACAATCTACTCAAGCTTTCTAACAATCTTTAAAGTGACGATAATGTTAACACCTACCTCCAAATGGTTGTGAAGTTTAAATGAGATAATGCAGGAAAAGGACCTAGCACAGTGTCTTGCATATAATGAGGATTTGATTAAATTTGAAATAAAATTTAGAGCATTGGTTCTCGACCATGGGTTCATATTAGAATTACCTTGGTAAATTTATGTCCAGACCAGGGATGGGGAGTCTTTCAATGTGCAGCCAAGGCTGAGAACCACTGAGAGGGAAAAAAATATGTAGGATTTGCTGGTAGGGAATCAGTATACATTACTACCAGCTTAATCTTCCAAAAAGAGAGCCTTAACCATGATACACTCCTGCTCAAAAGTCTTTATGCTGACACATATACTTACTATATGCCAGTCACAGTTCTATGCACTCTACAGATATGAACTCATTTAATCCCATCACAGCCCTGTGTGGTGAGTATTATTATTATTATCCACATTTTACAGATGATGAAGCAGAGAGAAGTTAAAAACCATGTTCAAGGTCATGTAGCTAGTGAATCAAGGAGTTAAGATTTGAACCCTGGCAGTCTGGCTCCAGACTCCAAGCTCTTAACCTTTTCACTCTGCCACTGAAAGGAATGGCTCCCTGTTGCCAGTAGAATACATGTCAACCCCCTGACTGTCACAGAGAAGGTCTTCTGTGCTCTAGTCTTAAGTTACCTTTATGAGCCAACATTCTTCCATTCATGCACTTCAGGTTCTGCTCACAGTGTTCCTGTGCTCTCTTTTCTTTGTACATTTGCTCTCTCCTCCACCCCTCAATATTTCTCAAACTTTAGTGTGCTTCAGAATCACCTGAAGAACTTGTTGAAATTCAGATCCTCAGACCATAACTGCAGAGATTCCATGTCCTTGGAATGGGTCCCTGGGGAGTGCATTTTAACAGGCCCCATTGTTCATCCTGATGCATGTGGTCCATAGGCCACGGCTTTGGGAAACGATTCCCAACACCATGTAGGTGGCTGAGGGTGGCCTGAAACAATAGTTTACATCTTAATTTAGTACACTTCAATTGAGCCTATTAGAAGTGTGAAACCTGAGTAAGCCAATAGAAAAGCATCCAACGACAGTCTATGATTGGTCAAACCATCTAGTTCCAACCATATGGCAACCAAGTTTAGGATGAATGAGTGGAGGCTATTTCATGATAAGGAATTGGGAGGGAAAAGAGACAAAATGGCTGCCCAGGTAACAACTGCACAGGTACAGTAAAGGTTGGGAGGAGGGAGTGATGTCTCTTTCTGGAAAACCCCTTCCCTCCATCTCTGCCTGTGAAAATCCTGCTAGTTCCTCAAGACCTAGTTCAAATTCAGCCTCTGAGGCTCTAATGTAAGTAGTCCTCAAGTCACATTTTGATAAGTACCAGCTGGAAAAAGGCCTTTCTCTCTTCTGTGCCTTCCCATATGCATCCTTAATTTCTTCACCCCTAAATCTTGCTTATCCTTAAAAGGCCAGCCTAAATACCACCTCACTTCTTTAAAAAAGAAGTGTTATTAAAGTATAATTGTCATACAATATTATATTAGTTTCAGGTGTATAATATAGTGATTCAACATTTATATACCTTACAAGGTGATCATCACACTAAGCTTAGTAGCCATCTGTAACTGTGCAAAATTATGAAAATATTATTTATTATATTCCCTGTGCTATATACTACATCCCCGTGACTTATTTATTTTATAATTGGAAGTTATTAATCCTATAAATTAAGAGTAAACCTCCCTTCTCTATGGGACCCCTCAGCACCTCACCTGTGCTTCTCCAGTAGCATTTACTACCTTTTCACATTTTGTCTTTTATTATTTGTGCCCATCCATGTCTTAACATCCTTACCAATGTATAAGCTCATTAAGTGAGAATCTATTTATGGTTCATCCTTTTATTTTCTCCCACTATGCTAGGTACAGAATAGGTGCTTTTTGAATGAATGCACACTAGCTGGGAAATATTGCCAGAAAGTTAGTCATGGTTTGAATTAAATTCTACTAAAATAGGATAGTATTGCTGAGATTTCTTCCTCTGAATTACAGATTGACTGTGGTAGATGGTACTGACTATACATTTGTTCATAGTCAGTGGGAAATTACCTGGTGTCATTTTTAATCCCCATTTTGTTTTTTATCCCCAACTCACTTAAGGACACTATAGTTAGTGTTTTTAAAAAATAAATGACCTTATTCTGAGTATCAGTATATGCCCATCCCTTTCAATATGCTCTTTGTACCATCCCTCATAAGGCAATATGGATTTGCTTGCAGCCTAATTTGATTTATGCTTCAGTAAGGACCTTTTCATACCTGTTTCTCAAGTGTGTGTGTACTGTACCTCAGTACAGCTATTATGTTTCAGCCAGGAAAGATGGATATTTGTTCCTCTTCTCTTTTTCCATCTTTGCCTCAACTTAATTTGAGTTTGCTCCAAAGGGAAGAGAGTCCATACTGAGCAGAAATGTATGTATACATGGTTGCTAATATAAACAGCTAGTTCCTATAATCCAGTCATTAGACTGAGATGATGATGATGATGATGATGATGATGATGATGATGATGATGATTTTGGAGGAAAAGACATGTCAAAGCTCAACTGAAGAACATTTAATAAAAGAATGGAAACATCAAAAAGGCATATTAAGGCATGTGAGAGGAAATATAGTGCAAAGTACATTGACTCTGAAGCCAGAAGGGCATAGATTTGACATAGCAGAGTTACCACCTACTAGAGATGTTATCTTGGGCAAGGTACTTCACCACTCAGAACCTTGATTTTCTCAGCTGTGAAAATGGAGATTATAATATCTATGACCCATGGAAAGGTTGTAAAATTTAACTGAGATGACAGAGTGCTACGAGAAGGTCTAGTACAGAGTTATTGCTTAATAAGTGTTAATTATTCTATTTAGTAGAATAATTACTACATTTATTATCCTGG